AGGTGAAGGTGGATTTTCATCTAGGATCCTAACTCGAACATGCAAAAGAACATGCTGCACTCAAGAAATCCAGGTTAGTAGTGGAAAGAGGTAGTGGAACAGGGGTGGGGCACAGGCGAGCATACGCACCTGAGTGGCTGAATCAGAGTTAAGTTACAGTGAGCCATCAGCACACGAAGGGAGGAGCCTCTTCAGAAACTTCTTCATGCTCGATTCGGTTTCTTCGTGTTGGGGTTCTGGTGGTGGAATGAATTTACCCGGGATAGAGGAGACCAAGTGGAAATACTCCCCGCCTTCTCTGCAACGTCTTTGATACTCTGGGCAGCCCATTATTATGAAGGATTTGATGGCTGGGAGCTACTGAATGGGAACCTGCTGAAATTCCTCCACCCCGTGAATTTGCAATCGCTCGAGGGAAGTGAAGCCATTCATCACACCAGGTAATTCTATAAGGCCACAACAGCGATCCGCATAGAGAACCCTCAGCTTGGCTAGATCTCCAAGGTTTGAAGGCAGCGCCACCAGGTTCTTGCACTAGGTAATCTGCAATTCCTCCAAGGATGCAGGCAACTTGGGAATCTCGAATAAAGTGCGACAATTGCGAATATCGAACTTTTCTAGATGAGACAGTGGCAAAGTCTCGTCAGACGATGAACCCCCCCCCCCCTCCAGGTTGGCACAAGACCAAATATGCAGACAACGGAGGCGTTGCAAGCTCTGGAGCTCCTTTGTTGGCCAGCGGGCAAGATCATCACACTGATTAAGCCACAATTCTTTCACAAAAGAAAAGCATTTCCAAAGGCCAAGTTGCGATTTTGACAATCCTGGTGTTGTTAAGAAGCAGTTGGGACCATGATGCTTCAAAAACCGAAGGGTTTCCGCATGTCTCCGGGTTTGGTGGTCCTCTAGAGGCACCATCATCATGTTTGCGAGCGAGAGAATAGTTAAACTGACAAGAGATGGCCAAGGTCCCAAAGGCATATTTGTACACATGATACCTTTTTGATCGCATTGGAGGTCACACAATGATTTTAGATGTGCAAGTGAACTCATTGGAAGACTGCAACAGTTTTCTATGTTCAGATCTTTCAGGATGGTGCTTTCCGGAACACTTGCAAGTTTCAGGCAATCCTTCATTTTTAACACTTTGAGCATTGGCAACATTACCAACCTATTCGGCTCTCTTACACTGTTCTCTACCCATATCTCCAAGTTGGGTAACTTATTTAAAGTCATTTCCGTTAACTTCGGGAAAATCCGAACATGGGTGATGTATCCTGCACCTTCCACCTCAAGACTATTACATAATGTGGTCAGGTTACACATGTCGTGTAGCAACAAATACTCAAGAGAGTTTGACGTCCATACAATAGGCATACTCTTGCAGCTTGGGCAGTTGGACATATCAAGCTTTCTCAGGCAGCGGAACATCTCAGGCTCTCTCATCCATTGCGATATTTCTAGGCCACCATATCCATGCACCCCCAAAATTTCAAGCTTACTGTGAGGTATAAGAGACTAGAGACGTTCTGTATATAGACGTTCTGCTGTAAAACTGGATGGGTATACGAAGAAATATTTTTAAACCATTGTCTATATGGATATATAGACATCCAAATATACACATGTCATTGGAGATGCTCTAACTGCACAAGTACAAGAAATAAACAAAAGTTTCATGACTCTCCATTCTACCACTATTGGCTTGCTGAAGATCAAAGACAATGACAACAAGGGTCATTTTTTTGACAAAGGGTGAAATGAAGCATCAAGTGATACAAACATGATGAATACACACCCGACCTCTGCATAATTAGGATGCACACAACCAACATCAACTCACACACAGAAAGAAACACGAAGGCAAATAGCAAAGTCATACAAACCCAAGCTATGCCTGGGGAGGGAAAATAAAAATAAAAAATCCCCTAGATGCACCCACAAATGCCCTGGTGGTGGGAGCACAGAGACAAATGCAATGTTTGAAAAGGAACAAGGGGTCCCTGGATGTAGCGAATGAACTCATACGGACTGATGGTGACATAATGCAGTTGCACAGGTAGTAGTAGTAGATGGCATATGATGATATGAGTACATGACTGACTGGAAGTTTACCTATTGCTGAAGAGAAGTGAGGCCATTCAGTCCATCATGCGGCGCTGTCAGAGCATCCTTAGCTTGCCCAATTTTCTCATGTTCGAAAGACACGCCACAAAACCTTTTCGCAACCTGAAATCGCCAATTCCTCATGGGACACAGGGCAACATCACACTCGCAAGCCGACCACCAGAATGGTAGATGCTTAATATCTCCAGCTGAATCACCAGCTAACAGTTCGAGTAGCTACTAATAAGATCTCCATGAGTTGCATATGCAGAGTTGATAACTTAACACAAGGCAATTGTACGAATTATTATAATTGCATTGGATTGGAAATTCACCTCTGTGCTAATTACAGTGACCGATGAGATAAGGTCAACGTGCTGGGAATGGCCCAAATGTGAACTCTGGAGAACAAATGTGACAACTGGAGTCCATGTGACCCAACCCAAAAATATCAAAGTCAGCAAAGGTGAAGGTGGATTTTCATCTAGGATCCTAACTCGAACATGCAGAAGAACATGCTGCACCCGAGAAATCCAGGTTAGCAGTGGACAGAGGTAATGGAACAGGGGTGGGGCACAGGCGGGCATACGCACTTGATTGGCTGAATTAGAGTTAAGTTACAGTAAGCCATCAGCACACGAAGGGAGGAGCCTCTTCAGAAACTTCTTCATGCTCGATTCGGTTTCTTCGTGCTGGGGTTCTGGTGATGGAATGAATTTACCCGGGATAGAGGAGACCAAGTGGAAATACTCCCCGCCTTCTCTGCAGCGTCTTTGCAACTCTGGGCAGCCCATTATTATGAAGGATTTGATGGCTGGGAGCCACTGAATTGAACCTGTTGGAATTCCTCCACCCTGTGAATTTGCAATCGCTCGAGGGAAGTGAAGCCATTCATCACACCAGGTAATTCTGTAAGGCCACAACAACAATCCGCATAGAGAACCCTCAGCTTTGCTAGATCTCCAAGGTTTGAAGGCAGGGCCATCAGGTTCTTGCACTAGGTAATCTGCAATTCCTCCAGGGATGCAGGCAACTTGGGAATCTCGAATAAAGTGCGACAATTGCGAATATCGAACTTCTTCAGATGAGACAGTTGCAAAGTCTCGTCAGACGTTGAACCCCTCCCCTCCAGGTTGGCACAAGACCAAATATGCAGACAACGGAGGCGTTGCAAGCTCTGGAGCTCCTCTGTTGGCCAGCGGGCAAGATCATCACACTGATTAAGCCACAATTCTTTCACAAAAGAAAAGCATTCCTAAAGGCCAAGTTGCGATTTTGACAATCCTGGTGTTGTTAAGAAGCAGTTGGGACCATGAAGCTTCAAAAACCGAAGGGTTTCCGCATGTGTCTCTGGGTTTGCTGGTCCTCTAGAGGCACCATCATCATGTTCGCGAGCGAGAGAACAGTTAAACCGACAAGAGATGGCCAAGAGCCAAAGGCATATTTGTACACACGATACCTTTTCCATCGCATCGGAGGTCACACAATGATTTTAGATGTGCAAGTGAACTCATTGGAAGACTACAGCAGTTTTCTATGTTCAGATCTTTCAGGACGGTGCTTTCCGGAACACTTGCAAGTTTCGGGCAATCCTTCATTTTTAACACTTTGAGCATTGGGAACATTATCAACCTATCCGTCTCTCTTACACTGTTCTCTACCCATATCTCCAAGTTGGGTAACTTATTTAAAGTCATTTCCGTTAACTTCGAGAAAATCCGAACAGGGGTGATGTATCCTACACCTTCCACCTCAAGACTATTACATAATATGGTCAGGTTACACATGTCGTGTAGCAACAAATACTCAAGAGAGTCTGACAGCCATACAATAGGTATACTCTTGCAGCTTGGGCAGTTGGACATATCAAGCTTTCTCAGGCAGCGGAACATCTCAGGCTCTCTCATCCATTGCGATATTTCTAGGCCACCATATCCATGCACCCCCAAAATTTCAAGCTTACTGTGAGGTATAAGAGACTGCATCACTTCTTCATCATTACAAGCCTCATCTTCAAGCATGTCATATTTCCCACGTCCCCAATGCATCAACAATTCACTTATATTCTGCTTCTGGTGGATATTGACTTCTTTAACATTGTTTTCACTCTTTATTTTTCCCAAATTGTATAGTTCTAACCTATTTGAAAGGTGCCTCAGATCTTTGAGCTGCTCAATTCCACATCCAACTTCAATATCGACAACAAAATTTGTTAGGGTATGAAGGTCGTGCAGTAGTCCAATATTTGGAGGCATCCGTTCCAAACTACTACAATTAAAAAGATAAAGATGGATAAGCTTCCTCATAGTACTCATGCCTCCTGGTAACTGTTGTAGAAGGCTGCAACCATTGAGCCTCAAAGATTGCAAGTTATACAACAAATATATTGAATTCGGCAATCTAATAATGCCAGACATGGAAAGATCCAGATACCTCAAATGTTTTCCATTTATGACGTGATTATGGATAATAGAAGGATTGTAGCAACACAAGACTCTTAACGATTCCAGTCCTGACTCCTTAAGATTCTTGGGTAGTATTAATGGCTCAAAGAAAGTGCAGAGAGAGACGGTGTCTTTCAACACACTACTATTATGCTCCTGTTCAGACCATACATATACAGTTGTCATGTGACGAACATCTTTTATCATTGCCTTTTGCTGAACCAGCTCTTCTATAGTTGCACATTCGTCCGTGACATCTTTCGCTAGGTCATGCATTAAATCATGCATTTTACATCCAACTGCCTCATATCTTGTGCCAATGGAATAAAGTTTCTTTGTCTTCACATCTTGGAGGAAGGATCTCCAAACCAAATCACAGAAAATGGATTCTCCCTTCTGTGTCAAATCCACTGTGCCTTCTTCTTGAATAAAACCATTTGCTATCCATAGCTAGATCAATATGTCCTTTTCCATCTCAAAGTCCTTGTGAAAGAGCGGACAGAAGGCAAAACATTGCTTCATTTCGGATGTCAAGTGTCGGTAGCTCAATTTCAGTATGGATAGGATCTCATCTTTGCCTCTTAAACTATCCCCAATACTGCTTTCTTCTATGGCCTCCCATTCCTGCACTAGTTGTTTGGAACTCATCAGGCCACCCATCGTCTTCAGAGCAAGAGGGAGCCCCCTGCATTTCTTGACAATATGTTTGACAATGGCGACCAACTCTGCTCGCTCCTCTACACCATTACTAAAAGATTTCTTCGAGAACAGTTCCCATGAATCCTCTTCGCTTAGACATGCTAGCTTATGAGGTCCTAGCGTGCCCATTATGGACGCCACTTGCTGGTTTCGACATGTGACAACTACAACACTTCCTGGCCCACCAACAGAACAGAGCAGTGGCTTCAGATCGTCTTCCCACTTCCTCTCCTCTTCATTCCATATGTCATCAAGAACAAGGAGATACCTTTTCTGCCCAATGACTTCCTGAAGTCGCCCCCGCAATATCTCGAGGTTGTCTGGCAAGTTGCATGTTACCTTGGTAGCCAATTCAATGACTGATCTCACAAGAGTAGTGGCTCCAAAGTTTTCAGAGACACAGCGCCACATGCTCAAATGAAAATGGTGCTGGACCCTGTGGTCCTTGTACACCATCTTGGCAAGAGTCGTCTTGCCCAAACCTCCCATCCCAAAGATTGGCAGCACCTGCAACTTCTGATTATCTTGCTTGTCGAGCAAAAGTTTCACCACCACCTCCTTGTCATCATCCCTTCCAAAGATCTCCGCATATTCATCCAGTGCTGAGTGTGTCTGCTGGCAAAGAACCTGCGGCGGCTCCACACTGTTCAGCAGGCCAAAAGTGTTCATCTCTGTGACAAGTTCATTGATCTTCTCGAGGACGTTTCTCAGCTTCCTGCTCATAGTAAGACGGAAGAGTAGCGGGCTGTGTGACGTGAAGTGGCTGAGTACCTTGTGTGTCCTGGACACGCCGATCTGGGCTTGGCAGTGCAGCGCCTCATACTGGAAGTCGTCGAGGACGTCGTCGGCCTCATAGGTGACGGTCCTGAAGTCCTTCATCCACCTCTTGACATACTGGTTGGTTTCGCTCTTCACCTTGGCACCGGTCAGCTTGCACTGGACGGCTAGCAGCTGGCGCTCCAACTTGTAGCGGTCATCATCAACACCGCACATGCGGGTGCCGGTTTGGACGAGGGCGCCTGCCACCTTGCTGGCCACGCCTCGTATTACAGGAAGAAGCGGTGATTCTGCCATGGTACTGTTAATTGAGTCTCAATGCTGACCAAAAAGAGATCGACCTACTGCAGTGCATATTAGGTGAAGACTAAGTTAGGCGTGCAATAATGCAGAAAGAACTAAAGATTAGGTGAAGATGGGTCCATCATGGAAGGTGAGGTTAGGATCAGTATACTTTGGGCAATTTGTTTATGTCAAGGGCTCAACTCCTCCAAAAAAACTCTCTGAAGTTCCCGCAAAAAAAACCTCCTCCAAAAAAGGGTGAGAAAAACAAATTGAATGCCCCACAAAACTATTTATTTCTGAGAGTCTAATCTTAGCTTCATCTTGACTATATTTTGCCAGCCGATAACTTCCTAGTGAAATTTTTACGTTTCACTCAGTTAATGACTAATTCACAATACATTTTCTCAACCCACGAACTGAACTTTGTTGATTTTGCTAATGAAATCTGGAGCGATGGGTTATTTATCAGAATAAGAAACAACTAACGAACTAGCAGACATGACTGCTTTACTGTAAATTTTAGATTCATGGATAATGAACTAAGTGTAGTTAAGGCATTTCTAACCGATTCCCTGTCCGGCGTTAGAGAAGTAGAAAGTCGGTTTACTCCTCTAACGTGCAACTAACAGATCTCCAATCCACCGCACTCAGGCGTCAACCTTCTCCCTAAATATACTTGGTCGCTGAGGCTCTAGGTAAAAGCTGCGCCTCTCCCTTACGTCGCCCCCCGCTCACGCCTCTTCATCGGCGCGCCTCCCGGCAACCGCCCGTCGGCCCCGCCGCTACCTCGTTTCCTTCCTTGGCCCTTGTCGCCTTTCTGCCTGGCGTCGAGCCTATTCGTCCCCCGTCGTTGTTGTCGGAATCAAGGTGAAACGCAGCCGCCGCCGCCATAGCCGATTCATCGGATTGCTTCGGAACTTCTCCATTTTCTGTCGCCCGCCACATCTCACCTTGCTTGCACACCACTGCATGTCATTCGCACGCGTCGCTGCACGCCGATTTGGTCTAAACGACACCGGTCAGTCGGTGCACCACTACCGCACCGCAAGTGTTCAACGAATTTCCTAGGTGAGTTTTTTGTTCGTTTATTTTGAATCGAGCCGTTTGGATTGAACCTAGCCATTTGAAATGTAGATGAAGAGGTTGAGGGAGATGATCTTGGAGGACTCCTTGTCATCTGAAGAGGAAGAAGACGCCGATGATGTTCAACGGCCTAAGAAAGGATCAGTTTGGCTGCATACACATCAACCGTGAAAGAGCGGAGGCCACGCCAAGATCATGAGAGATTACTTTGATCCAAAGCCAACCTATCCGGAGAAGTACTTTTGCCAACGCTTTTGGATGCACACAAGCCACCTTGGTCAAACACAATTTTGCGTCCAAAACGCAAAGAAAACATTCACTTTGCCCAATGTCATGAAGCTGCTAGGAAAGATGTTGAGAGAGCCTTCGGTGTGCCTCAGAAACACTTTGTAATTGTCTGTGGCCCTGCCGAGTACTAGAGCTCCAAGGTTCTGTGGCGGATCATGACTTGTTGCATCATATTGCATAGCATGATCTTCGAAGACGAGAGGGATATGTCTAAGAACTTTCTGTACATCACCAATGGGACTCAGATTGAGCCAGAGTATGATACGAACATGATCCTAACATATACTTGAGGAGCATCGCAAGATCGAGAACCGACAAGTTCACACTGAGCTCCAACAAGATCTTGTTGAACATCATTCGCAACGTCTTAGCGAGTCCTAGTTGTTCTATCACTTGATATTTGCTACATTTGGAACATTCAGCGCGTTTAAATTTGAATAATTCTCTTTGTAAACTTTGAATTCGGTTTGTAAACTATATTCGCGATTTGCTTGAACATTCAAATTTATGTTTAGTTTCTACATGTGTGCTAATATGTAGTTTGATATATACTAGAATTGCAAAGTTTAGAAGAAACAAAAATTTACTCTGTTAATTATAGGAGATCGGCTAGGTCCGGCCAAAACTTAGTGAAGTAAATATACTCCACTAACGGTTTACTCCATCGGATACTACACTATTTTTAAGGGGTCGGTTAGAAATGCCCTTTTTTGCGAGAAAACTTCTGATCTATTCATCTTCAGTCATGACAGTACAACGAACATCAGAAATAATAAAAATTACATCCAGATCCGTAGACCACCTAGCGACGACTATAAACACTGAAGCAAGCCAAATACGTGTCGTCGTCATTGCCCATCCTTGCCGGAGTCAGGCTAAACTTGTTGTAGTAGCTAAACAGTCGGGAAGTCGACGTGCTAAGACCGCATAGGATCAGCACAGCAGAACAACAACCACCATCAAGGAAGAGTAGGAGAGGGGGATATTTGAGCTAACCAACTTGCGTTCCAACGGTGCTTGTTGGGGGCCAGCAAGGGTGTATTAGTATACGGTATACATGAGCCTCGATGAATTCGCGTGGGCATAAAAACAAAATTAGAAGCTCTCATATTGTGAGGAAATCTACCTGCAAGAATTTGCAATTGGCACGGAAAGAATTGAGTGCTCTGGGCTATTCCTACATGCATATATCTCGTCTACATCATGTCATCGTTCTTATTGCATTACTCTGTTTCTCCATGAACTTAATACACTAGATGCATGCTAGATAGCGGTCGATGTGTGGAGTAATAGTAGTAGATGCAGGCAGGAGTCAGTCTACAAATTTTGGACGTGATGCCTATATAATGATCATTGCCTGGATATTGTCATAATTATTCGATCTTCTATCAATTGCCCAACAGTAGTTTGTTTACCCACCGTGTGCTATTTTCTCGAGAGAAGTCGCTAGTGAAATCTACGCCCCCGGGTCTATTCTTTATCATATTTGCTTTGAGATCTTTTTTTATTCGCTTTTATTTTCAGATCTATTATTCCAAAAACCCAAAAATACCTTGCCGCACTTTTTTATTACTTATTTTATTTCACATTTTATCGAGAGCTATTTATCCAATCTATCACAAAACTATTTATCTTTTTACCGTGGAGGGATTGACAATCTCTCTTACGCGTCGGGTTGCAAGTATTTGTTCTTTTTGTGCAAGTACCGTTTACATAGTGTTGCTTGGTTCTCCTACTGTATTGATATCTTGGTTTCATAACTGAGGGAAATACCTACTGTAGCTGTGCTGCATCATCCCTTCCTCTTTGGGGAAATATCAGCGTAGTTCAAACGACATCACACCACACTATCCATGCTTGTCCACGCCCATTAGAGCTGCGGCGAGTCACACAAGTTGTCCCGCATCGCGTGTGTTGGTGGAAAACAGTCCGGAATGGCCCATTCGACCGTCGTATCATCGTTGGTCGTGGGCGGGACGGACAATGCCTTCCTTGGTAGCGGTAGGATGGACGCGGTTGGGGGGAGGGGGGGCACGGCGGAAGGGACACATCCTCCTCAAGGTCCGCGACATCCTTGATCGGAACTCCATGCGAAGCCACTTTGCCTCTCGCACTGCCTCTTCTACCGGTCCCTATGGGCGACGTTCTCCGATTTGCAGCTTAGCTCCATGGACGGGAGCCCCACGGACCACGCCGAGGCAACATTCATGGTGGTGGTTGGGGATGGGGTACCCGACGATGACATCTAGGGTAGTATATGGGGAGGAAGGGTGGAACACGACGACAGTTTGGACGCGGGAAATGGCGGACGGGCGTAGGAGGAAGACGTTGGATTTTGTGGACTTTGTCAATTTGATGCAATATGAGGTGGGTCCGACACGTATGGTCCGGCTTGGCGGACACGCCTAGGCCTCCTCATATCCGCCCCAGATTTGGACTGAATATGAGGGGTGTCGGTCGGCTACATTGCGCGGATACTTCAGAAAGCGTACGTATCCAGATATTGCCACGCCATATCCCATATGCATCCCTAAATTTTTTGATTTTAAAAAGGAAACTAATGCTTGATGCTCTTGAGATACGTTCTGGATACATGAATCCCTCGTTCGACATGAAATTCCCACAAGAGTAAAGGCACACCTTTTGAAGATTCCCAACATGGGCGTGGGTTGTGTCAAAAGATGACTGTCAATGTTCTTGTTCAGTTTTAAGGTGAGTAAGAGAGAGTCGATGCACTAATTAAGAGCAGCAAACCTAGGGAAATCCCACCGCCAACTCATGGAAGTGGACCAAGTGCAAGCAAAAGAAGGGAGAGTAGTCCCGATAATCCTACACCTACAAAACAAGTTACGAAAGGCTACATAACTTTCCTTTACAATTCTCTTTGGCCCCCTGAATTTCAACTGCGGTGGCTGATGATGTTATGTACCTAGGGTAGGGTCATGGACCTATCTAGGATACCATACCCAAGGACATCCTTAGACGAAGCTACCTTCCAGTCGATCAAGAGAGACTTCACTCGACCGGCTAGAAGACACTCGACGAACCTAAAGACGCTCGACCATGAAGACTCACTCGACCATCAGGAGTTTAGGATCTACTCTGTATCCAAAAGGTCTGTAATTAAGTAGTCTTAATGGTCATGATGACACTTTATGTAGGGCGTTACCAGTAACGCCCGGTCTTAATGTACTTTAATCCTCTGCTACGTGGGTTGGCTGGGGTCCTAGCGTCCTCTATATAAGCCACCCCCCTCCACTGGTAGAAAGGTTCGCACCCCTGTAATCCTTAAACACATAAACCAGTCGACCGCCTCTGGGCTCCGAGACGTAGGGCTATTACTTCCTCAGAGAAGGGCCTGAACTCGTTAAACACTCGTGTGTACAACTACTCCATAGCTAGGATCTTGCCTCTCCATACCTACCCCCACTCTACTGTCAGACTTAGAACCACGACAGTTGGCGCCCACCGTGGGGCAGGTGTCTTAGCAACTTTTTTGGAGAAGTTGCAATTTGTCCGATCGCCTTCATCGTGGTTTCCGGCGGAGCTCTGGTCAAGGGCCGCGAGATCCGTCTCGGTGCGCTCGCTTTCATCACCGACGACTCCGCTTGGCTCCAGGAGGCACCACTCGACATCGACGC